GCTACCAGGGAAGTCCGGTTTCTTCACTTTTTGATGGTGTCCTTTGATGTTTAGAAGTTTTCAATTCTGATGAAGTCTATTTTTTCTTTTATTCCTTGTACTTTTAGTCATGTCTAAGAAACCATTCCCTAATCCAAGGTCACAAAGATTTACTCTTACATTTTCTTCTAAGAGTTTTATAGTTTTAGCTCTTACATTTATGTCTATGATCTGCTTAATGTATTACAGACTATTTCCATATGATTAAACATTTTTCTTTCATAGAAGTAGAATTACTAAGTCAAAGAGTGCATGTTCTTTGAGGCTTTTAATACATGTTCCAAAATTGTTGTGATTCTCTTCTCCCTATCATTTCCTTCCCCCTTCCTACCTGTCCCCCACTGCTCTGGTTCAGGCATTTGCCAACTCTTGCCTTGCGTGTTACAGTAGTAACATGACCTGTTCTTAATGGGCCCTTTCAGTGCAGTGGATAAGCACAGTGGCATGGTGATGGTGGTGCTGTGACAATATAGAAGAGGGGCATCTAACCCAGTCTAGTGATGAAGGGGCTGGGGAGGGCATCAAGGGGGGCTTCTTGGATGTCAACAGTGAGCTGACTCAGCAGGTGGTGTGGGCATTAGCAAAGCATAACATGGAGCATCAGCCTCCAGGGCTGGGGAGTGAGGAGCATGTGCAGGGTCCTGGAGGTGGGGAGTAGTGTGGCACGGTGGTCCAGAGATGGATGCTGGCTGTGCCACTTCCTGGCTGTGTGTTTTGGGGGAAAAAGACTTACCCTCTCTGTGTTTTAGTTTTCCTATCTGTAAAACGGGGATAGCAATAGTAGCTAGCTCCTAGGGTGGTCAAGGGACCAAAGGAGGCAGCGTATGTTGAGGTTCTGACTGCGATGGCCAGTCCCTGAGGAGGAGCAGGTGGAAGAGGTTGGTGTTGGATCTGTTGATATACAGAGGCAGCCATGTGTATGGGTTTGGAGCTGAGTGGAAAGAGATTTGGTTAAGACTTGTATTTTTTACCCAGGGGGCCCCCTGGGGTAGTGGTGATGAGCTAGTCTCTGGATCAGACCACCTGGGTTTGGATTCCAGCTTCACTGCTTATTAGTTGTGTAACCTTGAACAATTATATATAATCTCTGTGGCTTAGTTCTTAATCAGTAAAATGAGAATAATAACAGTACCTTGTTCGTACGATTGTTGTGAGGATTAAATGAGTTGATATATAAAGTGCTTCGAATAGTGCCTGACACAATTCTCTTTTTGCTGTTATCGTTATTGTTTTTCTTGGTGATGGCAAAGAGGGGGAGGTAGGAGCTAAAGGAGATGTGGAATTCAGAGAGGTTTGTGATGGTTTAGGACCAAGGTGGATTTGATTGCCTGTTCAGGGCTGTGGTAAGTCCTGGTGTAAAAGTGGGAGACAGAGCCAGTGCCCGAGTCTTCAGTGCCTGAGGGGCAGTGGCCAGAGGCCAGGAGATGTCAGCAGTGGGAGGGGGAGAGGGGGATGACCAGTGGAAGGAGCATAAAAGGAGCAGGGGCTTTTACAGAGAATCATGATCCGGAGGTGGCAATAAATAACAATAGCCATAGCTCTTACTTTTGTAACTTGGAAAGGGCAATGGGTAACAAGAAGAATGCCAGCTCTTTCTCCTTGGATCTATCCTTCAGTTTGCAGCCATGTGTTCATTCATTCAGCATGTTTCTGCCGAGTGCCTAGACAGGCCAGCTACAGTGCTGGGCACCGGGAATGTGGCGCTGGATGCAACAAACCCAGGTCCTGCCTTCACAGAGCCTACTGGCTGAGGGGAGACGGACATTATACGAGTAATTGTGCAAGTCATTAATCAATACAGACTGGATCATGCCACTCCCCCAGTTCCAGAATCTTCATTCGCTCTCCACTGCTCCGGATAAAATCCTGACTCCTAAGCATGGCTTGGGGGCCTTTCAGGATCGGGCCCCAGTCCCACTCTTGGCAGCTCTCCTGACCACTTCTGCTCCCTATTCCAGGCTTCTAGCCTCCTAGGACTGCTTGCCATGCCCCAGAGCAACTGTAACATCTCCAACGTCCCCTGCCCCTGCTCATGCCCTTTCTCCACCTGGCATGCTCCTACGGTCCGTCAAGGCCAGCACAGCAAGCGTGTCTTCCTGTGGGAGGCCTTTCCCGGTCACGATCACTCTCTCAGCCATGTTCCCGGAGCATCTTGGACTTTTCTGGTTTATAGTGCTCCATGTCTAGAATCAGAGTGGGCAGTGTGGCTCCAGTGGGAGGAGGTCATGACAAAGGCTCTGAGTTAGGAATAGGCATGGAGAGGGGGCCCTGGGAAGAGACTGTTTCGGGGGCGTGGGAGATGCCTGTGGGTAGGAGGAGCACCTCGTGGTTCAAGGGGGCGGCCTCAAATGCCTGGCTGGAGTAGAAGGACAAATTCCCTCCTTTTAGGAATGTTATGGAAAGCTTGGGCTCTGGGAAGAGGCAGTGTGTCCAGGGTGTCCGTATTCTGAGTTTCTCTGTGGAGATGTGTGTCTGGTGAAGAGTCATTTCTGCCTGAGCTGGTGAAGCTAAGGGTGCCGGCAAAACCTGCAGTGGAGCAAAGTGGAGTTATAGAGCCCAGCTGTGGGGCGAGGGGCAGCTCAGGGGCCCGGCAGAAGTGTCTGAACCTTCCCGGACTGGGAATGCCCCACCACTGCTGGTAAGGGCGGCCACCAGGGGATGTGACCGCCCCTGGCTGCCTTCTCTCTCTTTGAGATAAACCCCCAAACCCTTTGCTGATGTCTTGGTGGTGGTACCTGGAGGGGAGCCCCATAGGCTGGGGGAGGGGAGCCCATGCTCAGACAGCTGCACAGAGGTTAGGGAGCCTCCCTGGAGCAAGTCTCAGAAATCCAGCTGCTGGACCTCAGAGGGTCAAAGGCAGATCCAAACTGTAGCTGTTGATTACCACGCATGAGGCTGTTGCAGCCTGAGCTTTACGGGTAGTCATTGCCAGCAAGGTTGGGCCAGGGCCCCAATGAGGCCCAGATAGAGCCTCTCCACCAGAAAGGCCAGTGCAGGCGAAGAGCTGCCCTGGCCAAGGACAGGAGGCCACCAAGCCAAGAAAGGTGGTGAGAATATTTAGAGTGGCCTGGTTAGAGCTGTGGGACCATCTCTCTTATCAGAGGCTGAGGCAGTGTCGGGGAGCCTGGGATGGCTGGAAGGGGTCAGCAAGGGACTGAGGTGCTGGGAGCTCCTGGTCCAGGCTGAGTTGCAGCTCAGTCTGGCATCCCCATGGATGCAGGCAGTTAATCTCCAAAGGCCGGAGTTGCCACTGCTGGAGAGCAGGAACACTGAACTTTTCAATCACATTAATTTCCACAGGAAATTGTTGTCTTCCTTTTGTCCAAAGGTTAGTGATTTATATTTACCATCCTCTTAACTAGCCTTGAAATTTACTGTTGCCAGGTCACCACCAGCATTCATAAATCTTAGGGTGGCAGCTGAGCATAGCCAAGTGGCTTGATCCTTGGAAGGGTACACCCTGGTCCTTTCAGAAGGGCAGATAACTAGCAACAGACAGTCTGTGCACAGAAGTCGCCCCAAGGAGGGTGGGTACTCACTTGGCAGGGGAAATGAGATGAGGTCTGACTGACAAGGTTGCAGGGAGGCCTTCAGAAGCAGCCATGGAAGAGGCAGGTGGCTTGTGCCTTTGGCACATCACTGAAGGAGATGAGCTTCTAGTTGTGGACGGGGTTGGTGGCACAGGAGGTCTCAAGTGACTTAGCTAGGATGGGGAGCGGGGACCAGATTCCCAGCTCTACACTTCCTGTGTGACCTTAGGCAAGTAACTTAACCATTCTGTGCCTCAGTTTCCTCATCTGTAATAATATTACTCGTATTGTTGTTGTGAGGGTTAAACCTCAGTAAATACCGGCTGTGATTCTTCTCTGTCAGGACAGGGTGGGTGGTTTGGTAGTAGCCGCCAGAGTCTGTCTGCTTCACTTCCCTGCTTATACTGTCCTATCCATTTCTCCTTTTTTTTTTTTTAATAATTATTTTATTTATTTATTTTTGGCTGCACTAGGTCTTCGTTGCTGTGCGCGGGCTTTCTCTAGTTGTGGTGAATGGGGGCTACTCTGTTGCAGTGCGCGGGCTTCTCGTTGCAGTGGCTTCTCTTGTTGCAGAGCACGGGCTCTATGTATGCGGGCTTCAGTAGTTGTGGCGCACGGGCTTAGTTGCTTCGTGGCATGTGGGGTCTTCCCGGATCAGGGCACGAACCCGTGTCCCCTGCATTGGCAGGCAGATTCTTAACCACTGCGCCACCAGGGAAGTCCCCCATTTCTCCTTTTAAAGACCTCTTCTTCCGTCTGCTCATGGAATTAGATCAGCAACTGGCAAACTTTTTCTGTAAAGGGCGGTATCTTAGGCTTTGTGAACTGCGTGGTCTCTGTTGCAGCTACTCAACTCTGCTGTTTAGCTTGAAAGCAGCCGTAGACATTATGTAAATGAATGAGCTGGGCTGTGTTTCAATAAAACTTTATTTGTGGACACTGAAATTTAAATTTCATATGATTTTCACATCACAAAATCTTCTTTTGATTTTTAAACAAAAACATTTTAAAATGTAAAAAACATTTTTAGTTTTAGTTCAAAGGTCATATGAAAACAGATCATGGGTCGAATTTGGCCCATGGCTTGTAGTTTGTAGATCCCTGGATTAGAAGGTGAAATTGCATGGTGGAAGTATTTATTCACTTTTCTCACCTGGGCTATGTCTTTGAGTCACTAAAGAAAGGGGCCCTCAGGTGGGTTTTTCCAGTTACCCTGCAGTGCCTCCTGAGGAGCCTAAAAGCCAGTTGAAGTGAAGGACAGAGGAAGAAGACTCCTGGGAACCTGAGGCACAGGGACCTGCAGGATGCCTGGGCCTGGCACCTGGAGCTCCCCTGCCAGCAGCCCGAGTAGCGTTGGCTCTGGATTGGCCAGTCACCCCCACCCCGAACCCTAGCTCCAGGGATGACAGTCTCACCCTGCTTGTGTTTCAGAGAACAGCCCCAATCAAGGCGGGAAGGAGGCGGGGACTCGACAGCCTTTGGTGATTCTCTTGGGCTGGGGTGGCTGCACGGACAAGAACCTGGCCAAATACAGCGCCATCTACCACAAAAGGGTGAGTACTGCAGGTGTACGAATGCCTAGTGGGGCCGCTCTGCGGGGCTCTCCCAGCTTTGGCTGCCCTCATCTCTGGGCTGCAGTGGAGGCTGACCACCAGTCAGCCCAGGAAGGCCTGGGAATGGCACCAAGAATAGCCTGTGAGGAAGACGCTGGGCCCATGGGGACTTGGGCAGGATTATCCACCCTTTGCAGCCAGCTCTGTGGCCTGGTCTGTCCCCTTCAGCCCCCTGACCTGCTCCCCCTTCCTTCCTCCCCAAGCCCCACAGTGGACAGCCCATCCCAGATGTGCTCCCAGCTGCGGAGTCAGCCCAGACCTCAAGTCTCTGTTGGCTAGTGCTGCCTCTCTGGGCAGCAGGAACCTGGGCCGGGTGTGCTGGGCATAGTCTGGACTCCTGGGGCTTTCTCCTTTTCTGACCAGGTGAGTTTCTGTCTTAGGGCTGACCATGGCCCCTCACGTTTCCAGAGTAGAAGGGCTTCTTGGAAGACAGATTCAGGACTGCGGTTTCCTTGCTTCATCTCAGGATGCACCAAGAGTTGTATGTAGAGGCTGTGGTTATTGGAGAGAGCCTTGGGAGGGCCTGGTTATATCTGGGAAGCCCCTTTCACAGCTTTGGCCGCTGGCCTGACCCTGCCCTCCTCATCCCAGACCTCCCAAAGCAGGGAGGCATCAGTACAGACCCCCAGCCACCAGCTGGAAGCCCTGCACTGAGGAGGAATGGCAGTCACCTGGGAGAAGGGCCAGCTGGGGCCCCCTCCTGTCAGCCTCCCTCCACTGACCCACGTCTGTGCTGTGCCCCAGGTGTGTGGTGGCCCTGGAATGGGAGAGGAGTTGGAGGAAAGATGTAGTTCTGAGCTTGAGGCCTCCCCTCAACCAACAAGCCTGGTGCTCTGGCATTGCCTTATTCCTTAAGTAGTTTCAGCTGCTTCTGAATCCTACTTACTGAGTGAGGCTAGTTTGGCTTCTCCATTAGACTAAGATCCTTGAGGGCAGGCAGAGGACTGGCAATAGGTGAGTGTGGCCAGAACAGAGGACAAAAGAAAGGGCAAGTGTGAAGAGATGAGGCTGGGAGGGTCCTCAGGGGACTAAACAGGGGTGTGATGTTAGACTTGTGCTTCTGAGAGTCCCTCACTGCTGAGTGGGGAAAGGATTGTGGGGGCCAGGACCAGAGGCTGGGAAGTGAGTTTGTTGAGGTGGCCAGGACCTTGGGGCTGGTGGTGCTGGTGGAGGGAAGTTGGTGGATCAAGGAGCTTGTTAGGAGGTAGAGTGGTCATTGGATGAGAGATTGTGTGTGGGCACAGGGATAGGGAGGGGTCTGGGTAATGCCAGGTTTCTGGCTGCAGCAGATCCTGGGTTGTTTGAAACAAGGAGCACTAGAAGAGAAGCCGTGGGCTCTGGGGTGGTTGAGATTTCCCCCAGGGAGTGTGTAGAGGGCAAGGAGAAGAGGCCCAGGACAGAACCCAAGCTTAAAGGAGCAGAAGACGAAGAGGGTACCACGTGGAAAGGAGGAGCGGCTACAGATGGACAAGAAAACTCAGGGAAATGTGATGGAATCCACAGGAAGAGAGTCTTAGGGAAATGGACCACTGTCGAGGGAGAGAGGAAAGATGTTCTTGGGGCAGACGGCATGGGAGGAAGTGATGGAGTGGAGGGAGGAAGTGATCCCAGGGAAGGCAGAGGGGTTGAGGTGGCAGCGCCCGTTGGCAGGGGATTGTCTGGGAAAGGAGTGGGTGCCTTTACCCCCTGGTCAGGAGGATAAGATGGGGGTAGAGAAAAAAGTTTTCCAACCCCAAACTCCTGATACTTTATTATTTAAAAGAATATAAAAACATCATAGTCTGTCCCCTAGAGATCACGTCTATTTAGCCTTAGTATATATCCTTTCAGCTTTTTTTCTGTTTGTGCATCTTTTCTTTACCTAAATAAGATCTCTTGAATACACTATTTTATATCCTGCTTTTTTCGGACCATGATCTCCACCGTCCCCATGTTAATACATTTTAATCTCATCGAGTTTCCAGTCCATATTCAGATTCTCTGATAGTCGCCAAAGTGTCCTTTACAGCTGATTTTCCCGAACCAGGGTCCAATCCAGGATCGCCCATTGCATCTAGTTATTTCGTTCCTTAAGTCTCTTATAAGTCTAGAACAGTCTATTTTTTCCTGTTTCTGTCTTATTGAAGAGTCAGGGCTATCAGAGAGTGTTTCTAAGAGCTCGTAATCCCAAATGCTGCTGGAAGGAAAGTACGGTGGGGACCGAAAGGTGTCATGGGATTTCGCCCTTCGGGAGAACTTGGGCGACCATGATAAGAGCAGTGCAGCTGTCAGAGTGGAGTCAGTGGGAGGGGACCAGGTGGAGAGGGTGTCAAAGTTTGGGAAGGTGAAGAGAGGGTGGGACAGAGTTAGAGGGGAACATGGTGGGAAGGCAGAGGCTTTAATTATTTTTTAATGAGATCGGTTTGAGGAGGAATCTGGAACGAGGAAGAAACTGAAAGTACAGGAGAGTGAGGTGAGGGTAGATGGATCAGGCTGGGACCGAGCGTGTGTGGAGATGGAGAGATGGTTGGCTTCAGGGGAGAGAGAAGAGCCTGGGATCGGACAGCCAGTGAGAGCCCGGTCCTTGGTGCAGGGGGGTTCTAGGAGCATCTGACTCGGGAGGTGGCAGCAGAGATGGAAACCTCAGATTGAGGCCTAGGGAAGCTTGGTGTATGTGCCCTTCCTTCACAGGGGGTGTTGGGCATTCACAAGGCAAGCTCTGTGCATACACTCACGGGTGACGTGGAGGTGGAGGGCACATGCGCCCTCAGAGACGGTGAGTTCCCAGGACTTGCTGCTGAGTTTATGCCGGTATCAACGGGTAGTGCTGCATGGGAATGCTTCTGGGGAGAAGCGTGTGTGGGCGTGTGTGCACGCATATGTGTGGGCTCCTGAAGGTAGTACCTACAGTGGTGTGTGCGTTGGTGGCTGTGCTTTTTTGTGCACTTCACAGGTGGTGCAGTGGGTGCCATGGGTGTCTGCATCTGTGGGGTGTGAGGCGGACAAGGCTGTGTTTAGTCCCAAGGGTCGTGTGTGTGTGGTGGTGGTGTGGAGTATGTTTGCGTTCGTGGGTGATGCTGTGTGTAAGTTGAGGGTGGGTGGAAAGCACCCTCTGGGGAGTTAGAGCAGAGCTCTTTGTGAAATTTTCCAGATCTGCGGGGCCAGGTAGCATCTGTGACCCCCGCTGCAGAGTCTTGGGAGGGGTGCTTAGGTACGCTAGGGTCTTGGTGAGAGCAGAGCCAGGAGGAGTTGGGGCACATGTGATCACAGTCAGCGGGAGGGGACAAGGTCAGGAGGCTGATGGCAGGGTTACCTCAGCTGACCATCTCTCTCTGGCTCTGGGTCATTCGAGTACTGCGCGCATGTAATTTTCTCCTCGTTATTACTCCTACCGCCACTAATGACTGCTGTTCTTAGCTGAGGACTTTGTGCCAAGTGCTGTTTTGGGCACTCGAGGTATGTTTTTTCGTTTCATTTTCACCACAATCCCATGAGATGGATGTTATCCCAACTTAGAGTTGGGAATGCAGACTCAGAAAGATGAAGTAATTGCTGTTCATCCATACTGTTAATAAGTGCTGGTCCCAGGAATTGAGCCCAGAACTGTCTGACCCCAGAGCCTGCCTAACTCAGATTCCCCCGACAAGGGGCCCTTTGTCTCTGGCGCATGTTAATGAGAGAGGATTAGGACTCAGGGTGGCTTTGGCTGCCTGTTCTAACTGGCCTAGAAGGGGATCTGTGTGGAGACCTTGAGGTGTACTTGACCCAGGCATTGAGGGGTACAGCGGCCTAGAGAGAGTTTAGCTAAGATTTTAGAATTTGAGGAACAACGGAGTTTACTGTATTTGGAATTTCAGGGAGAGTGAGGAGTGATCCCAGGCCTTAGAGCCAGACATTTGGGAGTATGGCCTCTGTTCTCAGGGCCCTGCAGGAAGGTGGCAGTGGCCAGAGACTGATGCCATGTGGGCCTGGCTCACGGGTGGCCTCTGGTGGTCAAGGCTGGGCCTGCAGGCTGTCTCGGGTGTTGGGTCTTGTGGGGATACCTGTTTGTCCCTGGGAAGTAGGGACAGGCAAGAGCAGAGTCGCTGTAGCAGTGTGTAGCCAAGCAGTGAGGCCTTGAATGTGCCAGAGTTGAGCAGATGAGGGTGCAGGGTCAGGGGTGGGAGGGAGACAGGGAGCGGACCAGAGTGAGGAGGCTTCCTTCTGGTCAGCCCAGATGTTTCCAAAGTGAGCTCTGGGCTCCAGGCCTCGCGTACCATCCCCGGCTGAGGGGGCTTGGCCAGCATGAAGCGCTTATTCCACAAATGGGCTTGGAGTGGACCTTCCTGCGTCTGGGAGAGGTGAGCTGTTGCCCAGGCTGCAGCAGGGCCTGGAGCACGGCCAGCTTATGGGCCTGTGGAAATTGGAGCTGCTGGACCCCTCTGACCTTAGCTGCTCCCCACCTCCCCACTCCATCCCCGAGGATGGACAGGGCCTCTCTCCTCTCCTCAGGGCTGCATCGTGATCCGATACACAGCCCCCTGGCACATGGTCTTCTTCTCCGAGTCCCTGGGCATCCCTTCACTTCGTGTCTTGGCCCAGAAGCTGCTTGAGCTGCTCTTTGATCACGAGGTTGAGAAGGAGCCCCTGCTCTTCCATGTCTTCAGCAATGCCGGCGTCATGCTGTACCGATACGTGCTGGAGCTCCTGCAGACCCACCAGCGCTTCTGCCACCTGCATGTGGTGGGCACCATCTTTGACAGCGGTCCTGGCGACAGCAACCTGCTGGGGGCTCTGAGGGCGCTGGCAGCCATCCTGGAGCCCCGGCCTGCCGTGCTGCGCCTGCTGCTCCTGATGGCCTTTGCCCTGGTGGCAGTCCTGTTCCACGTCCTGCTGGCACCACTCACCTCCCTCTTCCACACCCACTTCTATGACAGGCTGCTCGACGCAGCCTCTCGCTGGCCCGAGCTCTACCTCTACTCCAGGGCCGACGAGGTGGTCCTGGCCAGGGACGTGGAGCGCATGGTGGAGGCACGCCTGGCGCACCGGGTCCTGGTGCACTCTGTGGACTTTGGGTCATCTGCACACGTCAGTCATCTCCGCGACTACCCTACTTACTACACGAGCCTCTGTGTCAACTTCATGCGCAGCTGCGTCCAGTGCTGAGGTCCTTGCCCTACCCACCTCACCTCTGCTCCAGAAATAAATGCCTGACATCTCCCCATTACCTACATCCATGGGTGGGGTCCTCTTCTGGTTCAACTCCCTGCAGCCCTCTGGGACTTTATGGTCCTCCAGGTAGAGAATTTCCATGGGCCTCTGTCCTGGGGACTGTGATGGTTTGCTTATCCCAGGATTCTAGGGGCAGGAGTGCCTGCGCAGGTCTCTGTGGAAGCCTAGCAGTGGTTGTGTTTGGATAAGTGCAGCAGTCAGGCTGCTGACTCCTGTGGCATTTAGGCTGTGAAGGGTTAATAAAGCTGTGGGTGGGGGGTAGGGGTGAGGATGAGCCCCAGCATTGATCTCCGATTCCTTGAATAGAAGGTGAGCTTTGCAGGGAGGTGCCAGAGGGTAGGGGCAGGCTGGGGCAGGAGCTGTGATCTGTGCTCCCAAGTCCCGGAAGGGCAGAGCCCCACAGCATGGAGTGCCGTCCCTGTGGATCCCATTTAGCAGTTTACTCAGGCTTCTCATTGCCAGGGAGTCTGATGTGGAAGCCAGATGGGGAGCTGAGGATACACAGCTGGGGGGCCTGTCCAGGTGTACCACACTTTGCCAGGAAGCCGCTAGATCCAGGAAAGTTGCAAGATGTGTGGGCAGATGGAGTGGGGTGCAGGAAGACAGCAGCGCCAGATGGGAACTGGGACAGGCTGAGTCAGGAGCCCTAAAGACCAGAACCAGAACCACTGGCCTGAAAAAAACTCCTTCATCTCCTTGAGGGAGACCCACTTGGATCCTCTGTAGGCAGAAGTGGTGGCTTCAGCCTTAGAGTCCTCCATCATCTATTATTCTACAAGTCACTGCTGCACAATGCTGGCACATAGCTGGCATTCAATAAATCTTTGATTTAATGAGCTTACTGTGGTGATCGAGGGACTTGGGGGGCAGGGATGGGCTTTGAAAGTTTGACCTGCAGCGAAGGAGATGGCTGGAAAAGCTCTGGGTGGGAGCTGACCCCTGATAGTCTCAGGGCTGATGGACCCTCTGTCTCCAGAGCCAAGCTCTCCCTACATCGCCTCAGCCCTCTGGGACTCCCCCACTACTGTGGCAGCCAGTTCGGATGCCTGCATGGCTGCATTCCTAGCCATGGCCAACAGGTGGCAGTGCTGCACACGACAGTGCTCAAGGATCCCACAGCAGGGCGGGTTTCATGCCCTCACTCTGGGTTAACGTCTCCTGTTAGCATATGGTCCCCAGGGTGGAAGTAACCAGCCATCAAGGACCCACTGACGTGAGTCCAGGGCAGGGAGAGGGGAGAGTAGAGAGCCGAAAGGAGCCATCCCAGTGGGGATTGGGCATTGCCCACTTCTCTTCCAAACCCTTAGCCGTCACTGGGGCTGCTCCGCCTCAACGGGCCACATACATTCCCTAGAATCTTGGGCCCCAGGATCCTTGCTTTCAGAATATTTGGTGTCATCAAGCTGGGCCTGGGCCTGTGAAGGGCCTTCGCTGGACTCCAACCAGGGTGATTTGTCATCTGGGTGCAGAGAGGGACAGGAGCTGCCAACTGGACCTGATTCTATAATATTCACTGTGGGCATCCCAGAGGAGACAGGTGTGTCAGATTTGGGAAGATGGAGGGTGGGCCTGCTGTGTGAAGGAGAGGAGTCTGGAGTCATAAAGATACTCTGAGGTCTTGAATTTTAGCAGAATCTTGTTTTGTCAAAACAGCTTTCTGTGGGGGACAAGGACTCATCTGCAGCTTTGAGCCCCTGCCCAAGTACCCAGAATGCTGCTCACTCACTGGCACTGGGCAGCCATGGGGATAACCGTTTGACAAAGCTCCGCCTCCAGTGCTGGCTGCCCAGCCTCAGTTCCCCGACTTGAAGGCCCACTTTGGTTAAAGGGGGTTCCTACTGTTTGTTTGATCTGGGCAGTTAACTATACCAGGCTGTTGGCCACTAGGATGGAGAACAGAAGCAGCCACAGGGGACTGAGATGGTGGTTCCATTTTTGGTCCCTGGCTCACTTCAAGGGACTAGAAAGGGACAGAGGTTTGGGGCTTACATTTTCACCCAAGCTTATAGCTGTTCCAGCCCTAGACTGGGGGATAGAGCCTGCAAGCCCTCTGTAGCCCCAAGCTCTGACCTCTTCTGTGATTAATGAGCTGACGATTCTGCATCGATAAGGAATTAACCTGGAGCCCCTACCCATCAATAGTCAGGAGTCCAGGTCCCGGCCTCACCCCCACCCGACAGTGCTCCAGGGCCCCTGAGCAGACCAACCCCACACTGCTTTACAAACCCGTAGCCAAGTCCTTTCCTGCACTGCAGCCAGGAATTAACCTCTTAACTGCCTCTGTTCATACCACCCCATCATCCACCCCTTCCTATACACATGCACAGAGGCAGCAGTGGTTTATACTGGTTTAATCCATGTCAAATGTAGTTTACAAAGGGAAAGGACAAGTACCTTTGTATAGAATATACAGACACAGCATCACACCATGGGGCCCACAAGAAGGGCAGGGGAGACAACACTTTTCCCTGGGAACAGCAGTCTAATCCCAGGAAAGGTTCTCTGCAGAAGGCTGGGTAGCCAGGAGCACCCTCATCCAGCCCCAGTCTCAGCCCCTGCTTTAGCTCGGTTCCCATTTCCTGTGCCTCCCCCCTCCCCCAACTCCTTATGAGGAGCCCCAGGAGCTAAGACTAAGGAGAGGATCATGTCCCCCGGGGCACGTGCCCCACGTCTGGGAGAAGAAATATACACCACTGAACACCGAGCACATGGGAGAGGGAAGAGAACCACGGGAGAGGGAGAGGGGGAGGGAGAGGCAAGCACCCCAAGAGGTGGATGGGCCGAGCCCCCAGCCAGCCCTGAACGAGGCACTGCTTCCAGGTGTTCTTAACAAAAGAAGAAAATCATACAACCAAAGGGCAGGGGACGGGGTAGAGGGTGAGGAGTTGTCCCATTTATACACAACATTGTAAACATACACGGTCTATATTACATGTGCTTCAGTCTGGTGTTTGCATGTCTGTCTGTCTGTCAGTCGCGGGGGCGGTGCTGGATCTCAGGAGCCTTGCCTGGCTACTCCCCCTACCCCCACCTCCCTGCCCCACCCTGGGAACGGAACCTGGAACAGGTATGGTCCCCAATCTTGGTGGGAGCCAGCAGGCAGGGCCTGGGCCTCAGCCTCCACTCTGGCTCGAGTCCTGTGTGTGTGCATGTGTGTGTGTGTTCGTGTGTGCATGTATGTACACGGGGAACCTGTGTATAAGTATGTACAAGGGGGGGGTCACGTCACAGGCGGGGCAGGTGGGGCGCTTGAGGCAAGGCCTGCCTGGGGTGGCTAGCTCACAAGTAGATTCTCCGCAGGTCTCCGGGCGCTGTGATGGTGTTGCACTGAGGGCAGAGCTTCTTGGCACCCTGCAGGGAGAACAGGGAGGGCTCTGGTTATACCCTGTGCCGCACATTTGCTCGTGTGAGCCCCTGGGCCTGCAGCTGCATCTCCCCGAACCAGCTGTGTGCTGGGACCTCGGATCGGTCCTGCCTGCCTGCGCTGGGGAGGCATGGGCAGCCTCTGTGAGCAGGCAGGCACGTTCCTGCGTTGGGGAGACGCCAGGATCAAACCGGCTGGCCAGGCCCGCAGCGGGAGCCCCAGTAATGAGAACAAGGCTGGGTCCAGCTGTGGCTGCCGCGGCCCTAACGAGATTACACGCGGCCTTTGATCAGGACACAGAGCCCACGTCCGGGCCTTTTATTGCTGTCTCCGGGCGACATTTTAATGGCTGCTCCCGAGCGAAGAACAGGGGCAGGAGCAGAAGGAGCTTAGTAATGGGAGGGGGAGGGGCTGAGGCCCTGGTCCTGCTTACCCACACCCAGCCTCCTCCTGACCCGGGATCTCACTGCTGTGCGTCATACGTGGGCCTGCTGGGGTGGGGGGATGGGGGAAGGGAGCAGGCAAGAGAACCCACGGGTGGGGAGAATTTAATAAACCTGGGGTGGGAGAGGAGAGAGGGTAGTGAGCTTGGGGGTGAACATCCTGGCTTCGGGCTATGGTCTACGCTTCTGTTCCTCTGCTCCTCGCTCCTCCTCCCCCGAAGCAGGCTCAAGCACGAACATGGACATCTGGGCAGTACCCCAAATGGCCACCCACTCCCGACCCCCATGCCACTTCACCAGGGTCCGCAGCCAGCACTCCTCACAGTGCACATGCCAACACTGGATGGACGTTAGGGGCATCGAGTATGAGTCCTAGGGAGAAAATGGGCAGAGAAGGGAGGGGTCACTCTGAGGCTGTCCCACCCTCTGAAGGGCCCAGATCACAGGGCAGAGACCCTCTCCAACCCCCAGGGAGCACTGAAGCCTGAGCAAGGGCGCCCGAGGTTCCCTTCCTCTCACCATGCAGATGAGGCATTTGTAACGGTCCCCACGGGATAGCTGCCGCTCAAGTTCCCTGACCCGAGCCTTCAGGGCCTCAAACGTGGTCACAGCTGAATCTTCGGTGATTCTGCAAAGAGAATGGCATACCTGGGCAGGCAGCAGGCTGGCATCCCTAACCTGAACCTCCAGCCTACAACTCCCCTGAATTCCAGAGTCGCATATATAGCTGTCTGCTAGACGCCCCACCCATATCCTTGATCCGCAAACTCCATATTCCAGAAATGCACTCCTCACCCTCTCCTTGCTCCTCTACCTCCGTCCTGGTGAATTTCTAAACCAGACACCCGGGAACCATTCTCAAACCACTTCTTCCCAGTCACTCCTCACATCCAAAATCTGTCATCTAGCTCCTAATATCTCTGGCATCTCCACTTCTTTCCATAGCTACCACCCCTAGTCCAGGTGCTCATGACTTCCTCTGTGGACTGTGCCACCAACCTGAGTGGCCTCTCAGACCCTGTCCCCTCATTCCACTCTGTTCTCCTACAGCACCTAGAATTCTGCAAACCTGACCACTTCTACTTCTAACATTTTAGTGTCTACCTCAGAATAAAGCTCCACCAAACTCTCCACAAGCTTACAAGGGCCTCCTTGGGCCGGTCCCTGCCAGCCGCATCCCTCAAGTGCCCTGCCACGTACTTTATGCTCCATCCATGCCAAACTCCTGAGTTTCCCCACACACCCCACCATTTTTCACTCTACTGGCCTCTCACCACTTTCTGCTTCTGGATCACCCCAACCTCCTCACTAGTCCCATCTCATCATTCAGGCCTAGTTCCCACCTCTTCCCAGAAGCCTTTTCCAAGCCCCCAGCCAGTACCCCAATGGTGGCTGCCCCTTCTGTGCTCTTCCAGCCCCTGTACTGGA